TCACAGAGGCCTTGCGACCTGCTGGAGTTGGTGTAGTGGTTGAAGCAACGTAAGTATGCATTTGCCCTTAATAATGACATAGTGGGTTTTTCGGTTGGAGGTGTAAGGCTTAGATGTGGTGAATTTGTGCAACCAGTAGCGTTTTATGTCTTCTCTTGATTTCTTCTTTAGCTCTTTGTTGCTCTAAGTAGCATTTTCCTAATATTTTGTCACACATTTTAAAAATAAAGAGAGCTAAAGATAGGTCCAAAGGGCAACTGAAGACACTAATACAAGTCAGAATGAATTATGGGAACTGCACACATCTTGTGGGCAGTTTTTGTCCATTCTTTGTCATGGCATGAACTGTGCACTGTGAATGCTGTCTGGCTTCCTCAGGCTGCTTAGACCCACTGTGGTCACCGGTCTCTGGATCCTGCCTGATGAGACCAGCATGCTTCAGTATTTCTCTGAACAGCTAGGCCAGCTTAGTGCTGTCTTGGTTCTGAAGATGGATCAAAAGAGAATTCTGAATTTCTTCCTGCCTAGAAGCTGTGTATCTCTGTAGACCCTCTGTATTAGTTTTACTCAGAAAGAAGATTCCATTTCCCACCCCCTCCTGCTGGATGCCTTCAGGACTCGACCAGCTTTTATAAAATAAAAGCTCTAAGACCTAGAAACTTAAAAAAAAAGTTTCAGACCACATTTGTCTAAGAAGCAATATTTTGACATACTTGGTAACTGAACTCAGTAAATCAGATTTAATCTTTCGGCCTTGCTTTTTATTGTAAAAACCAAACCAGCAACTGTCTACTCCTTGAAGCCACCTTTGCTGTCTTGTTTTGTAGACACATGTGTATGGTAATGCGAGGGGTGCAGAAAATGAACAGCAGAACCGTGACCAGCACGATGCTGGGGGTGTTCCGGGAGGATCCGAAGACCCGGGAAGAGTTCCTGACTCTTATTAAGAGCTGAGCCTCAGTGTGTGCCACGTGGTTTGCAGATCATGCAGCTACTAGCGTCGTCCATCTGGTCTTCATTGTTAGTACAGTCCACTGCCAGTTGTTATAAACATGAACTTTATTCCTTGTCACTAATTGTATTTAGTAATTACTTATAGCAAGTCAAATAAAGATAATTAATAAAGGGGTGAGCCCTCTACTTTCTTCTTGCCACCTTTTAGTGGCAGCATTCAAGCAAACTGCCAATAGTGTAAGTTATGTGCATAAAACCACTGCCTTTCAGGTAACTTGAAGGTGCCAAGAAGGGAGAATTCCCGTATTTTGTTCAGAGTCTGGTCATTTGATTCAGAAGCACAGGAGTCTTGGGAATGAGAGAAAACTATGGCCAATGTATTTATTCTAGCCTCCCCAAATGAAAATGGTTTAGTGCTAAAAATAATTTATGTAAGTGTGCAGCATTGATCTGCAAATTCAAAGTCCAACAGGCTCCACTTTAATCATGTTTATTTAACCACAGTGACACTTTATTTTTTATATATTTATTTTTTAACTATCCAGTTGTAACATTAGTCATCAAGGGAAGGTAGTGGAATATCTATGTTTTTTTGTTTTTTGTTTTTTTACTGTGAGTTAAAAAAGGCAATTTCTACCTTCCATTCTTTTTAAAATTCAAGTACAGGGAAATCAGTTCCTGGAGTTGTTTACGAGTATATTCTCTTGTCAACATACAGGGATTTAAACATTTAACTCTCTGTGCCTTGATGAGAATATCACACCATTTAGAGTGTACACACCTTCGCCTTTTTTAAAAAAGCCATTGTTTTATCAGTCTTAGTACTGACACTGCAGATAACTAGTCCTCACAGTTCTGCGTTTACACATTTCTTGGGAGCTTGCTTTGTGTATTCCTTGTAGCTTCCTCAAAATTTTTTTTTAACTTAACGAATATTTTTCTAAGTATTTTCAGAAACTTTTGAAAGTGTCCGTCATTTTCAGGTCTGCAGAACCACAGCTTCTGTGAACGTGACAGAATGCAGAGCTGCACTGTGGACTGTGTTATGAACTATGTCCCATGTCTGATGAATTCTGTATTGTTGGTGTCTGTGAAAATGCACCATAATTTTCTGGAATGACTGGAAAATACCGGAAGCCCCTTTACTGGTTTCCCTTGTGGTCCATAAGGCTCTTGTCTTCAGTGTAACTGTTCAAGTGGTATAGGTCTTTTAGTCCAGGAAGCTGCTGCCTTATTATCTTAAAATTTCCTCCACTGGGGCAGTGTGGGCCAAACTAAAACAAACAAAAGAAAACCCCAACTCTGCAAAAACAAACGCAGTTACTCCATGGAGAAGTCTCTCATTTGGATGACACTGTGCTCTTCAAATTTATCCCATTTCCTTAAGAGGGATTAACTACAGTGGTTGTGGTGACCTTGGAAGTCCTGTCTCTGTCACTGTGAGGCCATTTTGCTTGTTATACGGCAAGATGGCAGAGGTGTCTTTTTTTTTTTTAATTATTCCCTATTTCTAATTCCTGTATTTTTTCCATATTTGGAGTTTCTAAAGTACAGTGGTGGTTGATTTTGAGTTCCTTTTGAAATCTAACCTGATACAGACATTATCCTGCTTAATGTTTAGACACTTAGAGACAATTAAACACTCAGCTCACACTTGGTATTTTAAAGTTTTCACAGGTGTAACTTGGAGGACCAAAGAAATTGTTAGCTATAAATTCATCTCTTTGCCATCAATTGCATTCCTTTTTAACAACTCTTTATTCCAACATTCCCTAGAAGTAGTTTCATAAAAATCTGAAGTATCCACAGTATTGGTCTGGAGTATTGGTAAATAAAAAGTAATTACCTTGTCTGTTTTACTCTGGTATGTAGCAGTTCAAAATTACCTTTTCATATCTGTGGCCTTGAGTCCATTTTGGGGATTTTTAAGAATTTGATGCATTTAAACACATTGTTCAATTTAATTGTTAAGATTTTATGTATGTGTGAATGTTCCTAAAGATGGTTTTATTTAAATTATTAAAGTGTTATGACTTTGCTCTTGTGAAACTAGCTTCTTTTTGAACAACTGGTATAGATACATCAACAAATTTGATTATTTAAATTGCATTCTGTTTTAGCAAAGATACCTTTCATAAAGGCTTCTGTCAGCCATCAAGCTACTAGAATATAAATCCCAGAATATAAATTTAACCCTCTGGTATTTAGTTTGGATATTACTGCCCTCACCCTCCTGCAGTAATGGGAAGGGGCGATCTGGGGTAAGAGTAAGGAATCTGAGTGGCCCTCATGTCCCTGATCTAAGCCTAAGTTTGGGTAATGACAGCTCCTGAGAACGTGCACTGCTTTCTGTGTGGAAGCAGCTGAGGAGGGAAGAGCTGGCTAGAGCAGGGAGCTGGGCAGTGCAGGGAGTGGAAGTTTCCCTCCCTTTTCTAGGGAGCAGCCTGCCTGGGCAAAACTTCCAAGTAGGAGCAAAGGTTTTGCTTTTGCCACCTCTTTTGTGTCTGTGCCTGGTGACTCATCATTTCCTCTTTTGGGTGGTCTACTGCACCTAGGCAGAGACCCAACCCTCATTGGTTGTCAGTCTGTCCAAGTGCTGCTGCTTCTCGAAGGACCTCTGGATTGTGGGTAGTGAACCTAACCATCTACACTAGGAGTGCATGAAACTGCTAAAACCACAACTCACAGATATCAATCCAACAATGAGCTGCTACATGTAAAAGGATGAAGTTAGAACATTCTCTAACACCACATAGAAAAATAAACTTAAGATGGATTAAAGACCTAAATGTAAGACTGAACACTATACAACTCCTAGAGGAAAACATAGGTGAAACACTCTGATGTAAATCGCAGCAATGTTTTTTTTGGATCCATTCCCCAGAGTAACAGAAACAAAAGCAAAAATAAACAAACAGGTCCAAATTAAACTTATAAGCTTTTGCACAGCAAAGGAAACCATAAACAAAACAAGAGGAGAACCTATGGAATGGGAGAAAATATTTGCAAACAATGCAACCAACTAGGGCTTAATTTCCGAAATATACAAACAGCTCATACAATTCAATAACAAAAAAACCAATCCAATCAAAAAATAAGCAGAAGATCTAAACAGACATTTCTCCAAAGAAGACATAGAGATGGCCAATGGGCATATGAAAAGATGCTCAACATTGCTATGAGAAATGCAAATCAAAACTACAATGAGGTATATCACCTCACACCAGTCAGAATGGCCATCATCAAAAAATCTACATACAGGTGCACCTGGAAAGGCAGCCGCCCCTGCAGCCACCACATCACTGGTCAGGCACTGCACGTTCATGGGGAACCTGGTGCTAAACCATTCCTAGAAGACCTGCTTCTTGGTCGGGGTTTAGTACGTAGCAGAGTAGCCCCTTCACTGCGATCTACTGAAAGTCAGCCCTCCACACAAGGGTTTGTAAAAACCAAAAGAGAAAAAAAAGGAAAAAAGTCCAC